CACCAGTCAGCATGCACAGCTTTCAATTAGCTCCCTTCAAATTCTTGAAGGAACTAGTGTATTAAAAAGCAACATGTTTTGGTTTTGCCCTTCTAGACTTCCCAGTTTTTCCTCTATGTAAGCTACACTTTTGTAATTTAATCTTAAATTATTCTTTTTTACATTTTCAATATGTTTTTTTCCAATCATATAGTCGGGTGTAGTGAACACTGAAGCTTCCAGGAGCCACAATAAGAGATTTAAACGTGTGTTCTCATGCGTAGGTCACCCTTATATAACAGTAGCCACAGATGTCTTTTTACCTTCATTTCAGGCTATCGTGGTAAGAAAACCCCTTCTCTGGTTTAGAGCGCTGCAGAAATGAGAAAACTAATGACTTGGCACTGGCCTGTCAACTATTATTGGCCTACAAAGATACGTCATCCCCGGAGCACAATTGAGCGTCGTCTTCTCTGATTGGCTGCTGCTCTGTTTCTGATAGTGGGAAGAGGAAGATCACACTCATGGGATCCCACCTGGACTTTGTGGAAGGGGTCATGCACAACCACGTCCTGCAGGAGGTCAGCCCTCCCCGAAACACAAACGATCAGGTAGCCCAATTATAGTGTATTAGACGTCATTCTACGTTATCACATGTAACCTTTTGCATTATGTCATATGTCACATCATGCTATGACGTGTCCTTTTGTTTAATTGTCATGTCACGTTACTTTGCTTACCGGGTTACCATCACCATGTCATGATATGCCATATACAGATTGTTATATTATACTCGGTGTTCTTTTTATTCTCTGCAGAATCTCACCTATGACACACCTGCAGCTGACAAAAAGGTTTCGAGCAGCACTTTGTTTCTGAAAGTAGCTAATGAAACCTTGGCCTGCTCCATAACGATAAACTACTATCCAGACCCCGAGTTCACTAGCTTCACCTCCACAAGGATGGGGAACGATGTCCGCATCACCTTACAGGTAATGCATATCTTTAACACGCATGCACAAATGGATACATAAAAGTTCAAAATTGTTTCTGTTGTTTCAGAAAAAGCCAGACAAACTGGAGATGACCCCAGCAGAGTTGTCGGTGTGGGGCGTTAAGGAAGGAAACCAATACCCCTGCATCATGGAAGCCAAAGAAACCAGTAATGAGATGGACTTTTTCATCTGTGAGATTCAAAGCTCAAAGACGATCAACGCTGAATTTCAGCAGTTATTGGTAAAGCTTTCAGCCACACAACAGTCTCGACAATTCTATAGAGAAATAAAATGTTGATTTTATTGTGATAATAGTTACAACAGTACAATGTGCTACCAAATACACCCAATGTCTTTAGAAGTGCATCGGTTTCCGTGTAATAGTTACTTAAACAAAGTAGTAACCTGCATTTGTGCACTGTGAAATTCCTCTCAAATATAGTGTGATTTCTGCTTTTTTACAGATCATGTATGGGGACCAGACGGTAACACTGAACTTGAAATCTTCATTGCAGCTGTACCTGCTTCTTTTCCTTCTGCTGATACCCTTCATTATGTTTGGTAATATACACAAAGAATGGTTCAATGACCCATTTTGGTCGACTACCAGCCTCAAAAGCACTGCAGGTCAAGACTCATTTCTAGTTCAATGAGATAAATGACATTTGTCTGCTTGGTTTTGTCTGTCAGCGGTGTTTCTCGTCTACCGAAGCCAACAGAAGAAGCTCACGGCTAAGATGAACAAGCATATGGAAGACCTGGAGCTCGACATCAGGAATGACATTAGACAAGGTCAGTCTTTTGAAGCCACCCCTGTAGCATCATCCACTTCTCTGCTATACATCCGTATACTCCGTAAACCAAAAAGGGCTGCTCCAACCAGAATGATGATTTGCATGAGCGTTAAGGTGGCAGTTGTACACGTAGCCATATTGGGCGACCATGTAAATACCTAAGGTATTGGGTGGTATCTGAACTAAAACTCAGGTATTGTATCACCACTATTAAAACATTTCTATACACTACTGTAGTCGAGGGCATGCAGATCCCCATCAAAGAGTTGTGAGCATAGAGTCGCGATGGTTTTTAGCCCTCTGTATGACGACGTTAGTCAGCCCACGGCTTCGGTCCAGACTAAAATATCTCAACAGCTACTAGATTAGACCATCAGATTGTCATTGCATTTTCTACAGACATTCATGGTCCCAAGAGGATGAGTCCAACTCACTGGTGACACCCAATGCTGCATTTCAGCACTTAAAAGAAATGTTGTTCATTCAGACTGCACCAATTTTGACAGTACTTTTCAGAAATACAACCTAAACTTTACTGTGATTGTAGACAGGACATTGGTGGATCATAGCACCAGATAACAGTATGTGACCACAAGATCCTCAGAAGTATATTAGTTTTCATGCAATGGCTTTCAAATTTTGATCTTTACTTGAAAGTACTAATCATACACAAAGTAAATACATTTTTGACTCTCTTCTCTGGTCAGACGTCTCACTTTAAAATTCCTATTTAACAGCGGTGCCGTTATTGTTTTCCAGGTAACGTACGGTGACAAGACGGTAACACTTGGGCCTCCATCTTTATTACATCAAGTCATTCTGACACTGCGTATTCTGCTGATACCTTTTATTATTCTTGGTAAGTACACGAAGTACGCTTGACTCATAAAGTGATTTATACTGTGATATATATACGATGAAGTCTGCGTCTGCGATCGGTTCAATGCCGGCTGTTTATGTGAAAACTTCACAGTATACCCCCCCCACCCCCCTTATCTGAGTATCTCCCCCACGGCTTGAGAACTGTCTTTGCCAATCAGAACAGACTGTGCTTTTTAGGGAGGTGGTCTCGAACATTGCAGCATGTAAACATGTTCTAGTAGAAACACAAAATAAGAGTATGGACCTGAAAACGAGCATGATATGCGTCCTTTAGAGGCTGTTTTTTCTACCGCTTTCAAAGGCATCTAAGAATCCCTTCGTGGTAAAAATACAAACCGAGAAGCTTTTCCACCTTGAATGCGACAGGTGTAGTGCTGGAGGGCCTAGGGGCTGAGGCAGACAGTCAGCCGACAAGGGTTGGAAGAACAATAGTAGGCCTGCAACAGGATATAGATCTCACAGAGAAAAATTGACAAAATGTTGATTATCAATTCAAAATGTCCTCTATTGGCAGCTTCAATCCAAAATCCAAAAAGGCGTTAGTCTTAAAAACCTGTCGGACATAAGACCTTTTTCTCTTTCCGTTGTGATTTTACGGATTAAATGCTATTTGTCTGTGTGTTTGGTTTATATCAGTACCTGTTTGTCTTTCAGCGTTGGTGATTGTCTGTCGATGGCAAAAGAGGCTCACTGCTGAGACGAACGCGCTCTGATCATTACGTCAAACCTGGTGAACTTGCAACTCCATTATCAAGATGGACACCTCATGTCAATCTTGTATTCCTCCTTGATGGACATTTTCTCCATGATTAACATGGGTGGGTTACTGGAGTAAAGTTCACTCTGGGTCATATGAACTGAATCTTAACCATACACTGAATGAGAGAGGGCTTCCTGCAGTCTTTAATATTTGGCTTTTACAGTGTCTTGCAACTACTTTTAATATTGTTTAACTCAAGTTTAGATGGAGACCATTTGAAGAATTCAAATGTGTCCTGGAATAGAAACCAAGGTTCAGAGACTTGTGATTTGTGTGATTAAAATTACTTTTTGTATAATACAGATTGGGGAAATTGCAATCAAATGATCCTTTTTTTAAATGTTCATCCATAGTTATTGTTAATTGCTCCTGTGTGTTTGGTCTTTGTTTTATTTTACCTCAAAGCTTCTCTTAAAAATAAATATTAATCATATTTAGTTCTGTGTTTGGTTTTCTTTTTCTTTAATTTAACATCTTTACTTCTGACTTCGGACGAGGTTTTGGCACACAAAGAAAAACATCAATACGGACGACTCTTTGATGTGTGATTGACACAATATTAGTTAAATATTTGAATTGAAGATTTGAGAAAAGGCATTGACTTTTTCACCATAAAATGCTGCAGAACTCACTCCAAGAGAAGAATAATAAATAATATTAATATGCAGCCAGAACTCGATAGAAAACAAACTGTTACACTGATGTAATGCAGCTTCATCTAAAGCCCCGCCATGTTTAAAATGTTTAACTAGTCTTCTAAGTTAACCCTCTCTGTACAGTAAACGGTGAAATAAATACTGCGTCACGTGACCCGGTCAGAGATCAGAGAATGCCGACAGGTCGGCGCGAGCCAACTTCTGCCTCTTAAGTAGCTAAATTAATTAGCATGAATATTAATGGAAACTGAATAACAAACTGCAAAAGAAAATATCTAGACACATTCTATTTACTTGTACATACTTTAACCACAGGAAGTCACAAACTGGACTAAGTAGCTGACAACAGGAACCAGTTCAACCACGAGAGGGCAGCCTTACAGCTTTCTGTAATTATGTAAATTGAATAATTGCACTTATTTTAGGTTATTTAGTTAGTTTAAAAAAAGTGATCCTGTGTTTTATGTTTTATCATCCGTGTTAATGAGCTAGTAAAGTAACATGTGCTAGAAGCCTATAGCTTCCATGCTATGGCTATAGTCTATATTGTGATTATGAAGCTATATTATGTGTTTACAATGAAAAGCAAATACATAGTCCATACACCACACTTACACAAAAATATGATAAGGTTTATGTGAGAAGAAAATTAAATACACACAAATCTATTGCTGGTTAAGATATTTTATTAGGTCACGTCTGTCTGGTATTGTCAATGTAGTAAAACTGATCTCAGAAAATAGTGTCATATCTATTTGCATTGACTTGTTGAGTCAGTGACATTCAACAACTAGAAGAACAACCTTCCCAAAGCTGACACTAGATGTCATATTAGCTCTACTGTAGTTTAAACATGATTTGAAATGCGCGTTCTCTGACCCGTAACCATAATGCAGCCTGTTGGGACTCTTTGCTAAACTTATAGAGGATCGAGGAGCATCAAAGACGCAATGTAAATGAATCACGTGATCTTTATTGGACTCATTTTAGCGACTACATTCATATGAGAGTTGATTGAGCGGGCCAATCAGACCTCTCTGCTGCCTTATTCATAAAGTGTTTATCACGTGAAGTGTTTGCATCAGACGCGTTCCCAGCTGGAGGCTGTCACTGATCAGACTAACACAAGATACACTTTGCTTTAACACTTGGTTAAAAACAAAATGGGACAAACTCAGATGAGCGTAAAACAGTAAAGTCGCACAAATTATTATGTGTGTAGTTTTCGGTTTTGGTGGACGCGCGCGCTCCCTCCCACTTTCAGCACTTCTCTTTTCAGCACGACCACGCGCGACTCCAGTGACACTGTGGAGGAGAGCAGAGTGCCATGAAGACCGTCAGCGTGTGAGTGTTGTGCTGCGGGAAGATGCTGCTGCTGCTGCCCGGTCTGTTGTTCATTCTCTGGGGAGAACCGGCTCGGTGCCTGGAGGAGAACGGAGGCTTCACTTTTGATGGAGACATCCGCCACTTCGCCGTGGCCGCCAACACGGTTTACGTCGCTACGGAGGAGAGGCTGTACCAGCTGAGCCACGACCTGACTCTGGTCCAGAGTCTGAGTCAGAGAGGGATCTTGACGGGGAGCGATCGGACCAACGACGTGCACTTTTCCCGGGTTGCCGAGACGGACGAGCGGAACGCAACTTTCGGCGTCAACATATTGTTGCCGTTTGTTGAGAATCACACGCTGATCAGCTGCGGCGTGATCGAGTGCGGCTACTGCGAAGTGCTGGACCCGAGGAACATTTCTAATGTGCTGTACAGGGAGCACATCCAGGTGGGATCCCCGTGGACAGGCAGCGCGTCCGTTGGCTTCCTGGTGGATGTGGAGCAGAAAAGTACCGAGACCTACATTCTGACTGCCAATCAGCAATACGAGCCCGCAAAGAAAAGCTGCTCCTTGGTACCAGAAGCAGTGAACCTTCACAATACGAAACACCATCAGAAAGGATCTATATTTTCTTTGAGTGGCGCCTTCTCTACCACTTCAATCAAACGATGCCAAGGCAATGCTGAGTTTGTGGATGGATTTCAGATCAATTTAATCATTTATCTTTTCTCCAACCTGCCCTCAAGTGACGAGAACAACAAAGTCCGTCTCATTTGGCTCGAGGGTAAAACAAACAAAAAGGAGACTCTGGAGTCTCTGCGGGGCGCGACCCTGCGTGTCTCTGATGGTGATGGGGGTGAAGGCAGCAAGCTCCTCGCCTCCGCGGTGATCCCGGGCGGGCCGCCGGTGCTGTGGAGCGGCGTGTTCAGTGTGGACGGAGGACAAACCAACACCGAGCTGGTTCTGTTTGACATCAGTCCGGATCTCAGCGGAGACCCCAGTGCAGATCCAGACTTCGGCATTATCTGCCCTCTTAACACAGCACCGACGGTGGGTGGTTTTATTATAGATCAGCGTTTTGTAGTGATCGGGTGTTGTTTCCATTAAAGTTACAAAACTAGAATCACGGGCTCATTTTACGCACTGACAGTCTTCCACTCTACGTGAAAACCAATGTCCATATGGGTAACGATCATGAAGACATTATACCAGGTATGCTGCTATACTAATACTATGAATGTGTATATTTTATATTATAAGCACAGTTTACAAAGTGCTTTAAGAGTGAAATGAATGAGCAACGTTCTAAGAAGCTAGAAAAATAATGCAAGCAAACTTATTTTAAAATAAATCATTTGGGACTTAATTACCTTACTAATTCACACGATTTAAGTTTTCCCCCATAGATGTTTCCATGTAAATTAACACAGAAACAAGGTTAAAGTTATTTCAAAGTGCAATCTTGTCTGCTGGTGTCAGCATATTTGAGGAGGGAACTAGGTTTTGCTCACTGACTTGTCTCATTAAACAAGAAAAACTGTGATCCAAAGGTGAGAAGTTGGTTTATGAGGCTCTTATGGAGTTGATTGCTATAGAGATGGTGACAAAATAATTAAAATGTCACTTAATGCTCACATATCACCCACATGGATGCTCATTCCAGAGCAGATGAGGTGAACAAGGTGTAGGCTAAGTACAGACTAACTCACTGAATCCAGGGAGGGTTTTATGCTAATGCATATGCCAGAGCTTTCCTGGTGCGGCTCACATTCAAAGGCACAATGAAATGACAAACAAAAAATATGAATGAACATAATTTATTATCAGTTACAATCACTTGATGACCCAGCAATGCACTGAGTTGAGTTTTGAGTCGTCATAAGCTATTTCAACTGCCCTCAACACTACTTCAGGAATCCATAAATACCTGTTGGGTCCTAATCTGATCATCAGTGTGTGTGTTTGTTTCTCAGCCAAAGACTCTGAAGCCGAAGGCCGTGCTCTTCAGGCAGAAGTACATGACCTCTGTTCTGGCAGTGAGACAGAAGGCCTGGGTGGTGTTCTTCATCGGGACAGGAGATGGGCAGCTCATTAAGGTGTGTGGAAATACTTATTTAGAATTAGTACTTATGCATGCACCAGATGCTCTCCAATGTGTTCTGTTAGTTAACTATCTATACGTTGTCACTGATGTTTATTTAATGATAGGAAAGAGGGTGATGCTCTATAGGACGACAGAAGCTCTAAAATGTTTCCATTACAACTGTCAAGCGGAACCATACTGTGACTAAAGTTGACAAATTCATATTTCAGTCTTCTTTGTGGGGCTTGAAAAATAATGTCTAATTTCTTGCATTATTTTTGGTAAATTCTGACCAGCTTCCCGTCACCCCCGTCTTTGTCTCTTCTGTCACTTCTTCATCACATCATCCTCGTCTTCTTAAAACAACAAATGAAACTCTGCAGAGAGTCTTTACACACGCTCATTCACATGATTACAGAATTAAACAGGAAGCACTCCACAGTAACCCTCTGCTAGACACAATGGGCTCTTTCATGCCGAGTTTACTTTCTCAAGTTTTCATAAAACCCCGAAGTGCATTTCTCCCAGCTCGCAGCTGAGGCCTAACAGAGAAGAATGGCTTTATTATTGACTCGCTAGCAGATGTAACGCAGAGGGGAAGACACCTGACAGCCAGTGGGGTTTTGCTTTTTGCTCAAGATGATAGTGTGATGTGTGAGGTGTAGACCTATAAATAACTAGAACAAACATAGAAACCTATGCCACCTTTTGGTTGTGAACTATTAACAGGGTGTGGTCAAATATCAGACATACCAAATTCTGTTTGTTCAGCAATATTTGTTTCTATTCATTATTCAGATTTTCTTAAATTACACACGAGTATACTATTCAAACGTAAAATTAACAAAAAAAAGAGCTTCTTATAATCATCATGCTCAGTATATTGCTGTACAACACCAGCTCATTATAATAAAATCAAATCTAATGTGACACATCATGTAGTGGGAGAGTAGGTTCACTGTCAGGGTAGTATGGACGTGTAACCAAAACTCATGGGCAGAAAGCAGCTTATTAAGCCCAATAACATGACTACTCTCAGCCCTGTCCCTCTGAACATCAAAAATTCATTTCCTGTCACAGTTCACACACTCAGAGGGTAGGAAGAGTTAAAGGCAGTTTTACCTAAAAGGGATCGTTTGGGTGTTTTGAAGTGGGTTTGTTTGAGGTGTTTATCGATAGTCAGTTTATTATCTACAATAGATGACAGAAGGTACGGCCACAGTTTGGAGTAGCAGACAGTAGTACCAGCATGAAAGCAAATCAACGTACTCCTGTGGATAAAGGCAGCAGCAACATGTATTTTATCCACCCCAAAGAAAGGCCCACCTAAGAGAAAGAAATATCAGTTTAAGTGACCAATATATATATAGAATATTTTTGTCGGTTCATCTTGCCGTGAGACAGATACACAGTATGTTTCTAACGGGTGAACAGAAGCCGTTATCTGTGCTCTCGCCAAAGCCACCAGGCTCCATTGGGAAAAACACTCCTGTGATCTGGGAGGAGAAATTACAGGTTTTTTTCAATAGAGTCTGGTGACTTTGGCAAAGATTATAGACCGATACAACGATTCCACATCGGAAAATGCTGTGTCACGGCAAGGTAAAGCAGCGAAAATATTGTAAATACAATCTACACTTACACTTAATACGTTTCCCTGCTCCCCCGCTCCACAGCAGTACATAGCTTTGCTCTTTACTGGTACTTCTGCCTGCTTCTCCAAACTTGGGGCATTGACCGTCATCTATACTGTAGTAGTACACCGACTATGTGGCTCATACAACCCCACTTGAAAACACCTGAACTATCCCTTTAAATATTAGTCAGTCAGTGATTGCCAACAGGTGTGCAGACAGAACAGGCAAACAGATCCAGGGGGAGTCAGAGAAAGGAGGGCAGGCACCGAGGCAAGATGCAAGTCAGACAAACGGGTAACTGGCATCAAACTCATGCAGGTTAAAAAAAAAAATAGCTGCACATCTACAGCAGCATGGCAAAGAAGGCTGACTGAAAAGCTGCCCTCCATATGCACCGAGATGATTGAGGAAATTAGGTCCAGCTGTGCAGACAGGTGTGTGGCCAGGTGATTGCCAGAGGAGGGAAACTCCCTAAAGGGGTAAGTGAAGCCTGACAGAACCTGAAAAACTCCAGCATATGTGACAGCACAAAGTATAGTTGAATCACATCCTGTGTGCTGGTAAATTGTTGAGTTGGGCAACACAGTGGCCGTGACATGATGTGACTCAAAGACATCAATGGTTTAAGATTTCCCTCAACAACCTAAATGGTAGTGGTAGCTAGACATGGAAGAGAAACCGGAACCACAGACTCACCAGGAAATGCAACTAATCCTCTACAGCCATCGCTTGCAGCGGCAGATACTCTTTTTAGCTAGTTAAGTCATTCATGCTAATGCTTTTGGCAGATTGTATCGATAGTTGTGCTATTTGTAGATAATGAAATGAATTTCCTGCTGTGACAAGCCAAAAGGTCTGCTGTGAAAAAGGCATATTGAGAGAGGGCTAAATAATCATTTTTGCTGGCTAATTAAGCCTTAAATGGATCAAAACAATTAGTTCCTTTTATATTTTGACCAGAGTAGTACCCTCTCTCCAGCTGTTTGCCTGTTCGCTAACTTCTTGCACAAAAAACATCTTTTCAATCCGTTCATTAAACCGTAACCGTTTGATATTTACCAGCAGAGTAGCTCAGTCTGAAACTAAACAAAGTTACGTTGTTGTTGTCAGCTCGCTGTGGACAAGAACTACCACCCCGCCTGTCCCAGGGTGCTCTACAGGGCCAACGACGACCGCCAAGTGTTTCCCAAAATGCTTCTGGATCAAGTGGATCTTAAACATGTGTACATGCCATTACAAAACCAGGTAGGTGCATTGCACATGTATCATGTGTAGGGCTGTGGTGAACACTGAGAGATTATGAATACTTAAACATGTTCTGATGTGTTCATTACCACAATGTGCTGTATTTTAAAGTGTTGCTATGTTTGTGCTTTGTTCTAGATGAAGCGTGTACCCGTGTCTGATTGCAGCACATACACAAACGTGCAGGACTGTTGGTCTGCACAGGATCCGTACTGCGTCTGGTGCGGCTCTAAAAACAGGTCGGGGAAACAACATCTGACGTTGACACCTTTAAATAATCATGAACTCGGTTAAAACATTTAGTTTCTCTTCCTAGTTGCACATTTGAAGATGACTGTCGAGACTCGGACTGGATATCCATTCCTGATGATTTTCAACCGAAGATGGTTTCCTACAGAGTATTAAAGGACGGCTCTGGACAGGTACAGATCACATGCAAGCTTTGAACTCTACTCCGTTGTGACTGTCACATGTTTCTCCTTTAAACACTCTTATCCTCCTCTTCTCAGATCACACTAAACATCCAGACACACCTCACTGTGGGCCGGGAGGCTCGGTCTAACTTCGCCTGTCAATTCTCCACCAGTGAGCCTTGTAGCACAAAAAGCCCTCCTCCACAGTTCCCACAATGCACCTGCATCCTTTCAAAAAGCACACTTCCTGCTGAAGGTCAGTGAGTAATGGATATAATATCAATCCAGTGAATTAAATACCTGGTGATCAATGACTTTCACACTGTCACAAGAGTCTTTG